CAAGGGCTTTCACAGTGCCTGCATAGATGATTCCGATTAAACCCTGTACCCGTAGAATTGAAGCTGAGGTAGGAAAGCCTGCTGAGTACCAAAGGCGGACAACTTCACAGCCCTACCCTCAACTGGCTCAAAATCGAACCTCGTGTGATTCTTGATGAGTTTCTATCCGATGGCAAGACGATTTTGAGCGGATAGAAGTAAAAAAGCAGAATGCGATACTTTGGGGCCTGCTATTACATCAAAATATCCCGTTACTCCATCATCTTGATTGCAACATTAGAACCAAATCCTGTTCCCTTCTTGATAGCTGCACTTCGAGCTACCACACTACCGAGACTTCAATTCCGATCACCGGGAGTATGATAGAGTGATGTGGACTCTTGCACTGGTTTTTGGGTGGATTTGAGCCCGCAGCCTAAGGGGCTAGCTACCAAAGTTTCGATGGCTGAATTTCGGGCAAGCCGCCAGACGTAGCACCTACCTCACGGTTCGACCACGTTCGTAAGACATTTGGGGTCAAGCTTGCAACAGAAGTTCCGTGCTCGTGTAGGTTTGTTGGATATTACTCGTATACGAAATCAAATGCGGAAAAGTTCGGTTTTCTCCCAGACCGGTAATTTGAATGATTAGGTGGTGGGGGTGGAGCGAGGATGAACGGAAGCACAAAGATACGAACCCATCGGACTCGTATCCCAAGTTAAGACACCCAACGTGTGGTCCGGCACTCTGATGCCAGTCATGCGGCATCAGTCGTCAGTCTCTTGTAGCTTGGAACCCTACTTTACTACATGAACTCCAAAGCAGCTACGACTAGCCATACACGCCAGGCTCACATTGTTGGCTTCTGTTTTCATGTACCATGTTTGATTTGTCGGTGACGAATATTTGCGGGTCCCTATTGTCTCGCTCTAAGGCATCTATGCTTTTCATGAGCAATGCATGCGCGGGCTGACCGCTTACTAAGTCTCAATATTCCAGAGGGGTCAGAAGACCTCTAGTACTTCACGTGTGCAACATTTCAGCGGATCTCGTAGCAGGTCCGCAAAACGAATTCGCCAAGTTACATGCAGCAAACTTAAATCTGTTGGTTGCTAGTACTTTGAAGATTAGTGCCTCAAGGTCCTTCGGCTGCTATGGGACCATTTACGCCTGTAGGAGATGACTCAACCGTCGTTTCTTGTCACGAGTTATGGTACACAGCAATAGGCATACGGAGTATGGTAAAGTGGCCTAACCTATCAAAGTAGAAATAGATAAAAGAGAAAGGTCTATATATAGGATATAAGTGAGATACACGTGATATAGTACGTAATAGGCACTTTATAAATTGCGGTCCCTATCTTTATTACGTAATATACCCCCTAATTACTACTATAAAGGAGCTATTATACCTAAGATAGGACCTCTAAATAGCCTTATAAAGGCCCGATTTAGTCAAGTATAAATAAAGGAAAAATAAATATAAGGGATATACGTCTTTTAGAGCGCGTTTATTATTAATATCCCCTTTATTTAAAGTAAATGGAATCTTAACTAAGAATAGTACGTAGTTTATTATTTCTAGTATATAAATTAATAAGGGCGAGGCTACTTATTTACTTTGCGTATATTTAAAATCTCGTAGCCTCGCCTCGTTATTATTTTTTTTCTTTTTTTTAACCTTTTATAGTCGTTATACGTACCTTTATTTATTATATATATACGCTAGCGCTATCGAATCCTTTATTAATTTTATTTTAAATATAAATATTTAATATATCCGCAGTTATTAATAAGTTTTATATAATTTTTATAATATATCCTATATATATATTATACGGTTTATTAAAAGTTTAGTTAAATAACGATAGCGACGAGGCCCTCGTAGTTAAATCCCTTTCCCGCCCTCGCCGACTTATCCTTTTTATATACTAGGGCCCTATTACTAAGCTCTCCCTCCCTAGCTAGGAGGACGTTAAAACTACTACTAAAAATATTAAAAATTTTAAAAAGTTTAAGGCTCTCTTCGGTAATAAAGATATAGGCTATAATAAAAATATAGGT